CTGTCTATTCTTTCTCCATCCTTTTTTATCTGTTCCTCCACATCTCTCCTCATCATGTCTATCCACCATCCCCCTGTGGAGTTTTCAAGGGAAATTCATTCCCTCACTTTCTTCCTCTATCTTTGTCCCTATATACTTGGCTCTTCTGTTGGTGAAATCTTCTTGGTGGTGTGACTGTTTTTTCTAGGGCATCTCCCACCTCCAATTCTTTATTGCCCTTCATTTGACACCATAAATTGTGCCTCTTAGTGTTTGAGGGTCTTCCTACCTTGCTGGAGTCTAAGTTGGCACCTTTGTATCAATTTTCCTCTTTATTTTTCAACATTCACAACCCTATTATGCTCATTTTTGTGTCATATCCTCCTCCTTCCTCCTTTTTTTTCAGGGCCTCCATTCAATGTTTTGGGAGAGAGCCACACCTATGGCACACATTTACTGTAGATACTTGGTTGCTTAATGTATGGATACGACTCTCCCTTCCCCATCCTCCACTCCTCGCAAACCTTTTCCTTACCTTCTCCTTGAGATCACATTTTTCTCTCAGAAACAGTTCAAGTTCTTCTCCATTGGAATGCTATCTTACCAGTCAGTTACCCTTATCTGGGGTTCTGTTTTTGGTTGTTTTAAATCATTCTTCCAATGTTTTTGTCATCCTGTAATTATTCTTCAGCCTTGCTCATTTCATCAGCTTTCGTTGGTCCACTTTGGAGTTTATCCTCACCCTTTGGTTAGATGACCAAAGAGGATGTCTTGGATGCTTTCTTTCACATCTGTATTTCTTCTGCAGTGTTACCTTAATTCTTGTCCTCAGAGGTGGGGAACAGGTCTTTTAATTTTGCAATTTACTGTTGAGTCTAGATGCAACTCTCTACAGTTCTGTCAGGTGGTCAAGATCTCTGCCCATCTACCATGTTCACATGGTTTACAGTTTCGTCATCGCATGGATAACTGACTGCCTTTGACTCTGTCGATACAGACTTCTCACGCACATTTCTTTTGGAAAGCTCTACATGTAGGTTTGTTTGTCTAGTTGGTGATATCCTTGCTTATCCACACTCAATAACTCATACTTCTTGGTATTTCTTCAACACCTACCTCAGTCGGACAGGGCTTTCTTCAATTCAGTTATGATCAATAGAGCTAATGGTTTTCCATACTGAATCCTCACTTTCATTTACTGACAATGAGGTTCTATCACTTTTGAGGGCTTGGGGTTCCATGAAAGCCTTTTTTTTTCCCTTGGGTTGAGTATGACTGGTGTTCCTTTTCCACCTCCCTGCCTCATATTGTACCTTTTACCGGATACATCTCTCACAAGGTTGCTGGTCTTAGGTTGAGTCTGAGTTCCACATCACTCTTTTGTAGCTTCTTGCAGTTCATTGGGTGTTAGATCATTTCCTACCTTTGGTATGGGGCAGGTTGGTTTTGATCCATTCTCAAAATTTGACCATTGTCTCTTTCATCTATGGATTAGGCTGCACTTGTTCTCATTTGCTTTTTTTTTTTTCAAATGTTGGATCTTCTATTCTGGGACCACTTGCTACACATTTGCCTGTTGGCTTGTCACATCCTGGGTGCCCTCAGTCTTGTTATAGATTAGTTATCTCATCCCAACAAGATTCTCCCCATGAATTGATTCCCAGGTCTTTTGGTAGTTATTCTCCCAGTGGAGTTCTACTCTACTGGTCAAGTTTACTATTTTCACAGCCAAACTCGCACTGTTCTGATCCCCATTTCAATCAGCCATTGGCTGTAAAGGAGGAATGCCTTGGATCTGAATTGGACCAACAATTACCAGTACTCCAACCCTCGTAATTCTATCTTTCTCCTTCCCAGGGTTTTGTCTGGCACCCAAGACACTACATTTTGAGTCTTTATCATTGCCCCATTTGGCCTGCACAACTATTGTTCCTTGTTCTTCCACTACTTCAACCATCACCTCCATTGCCTCTTCGTCTGTCCAGTCTCTTCTCCTCCTATGTTGATTGTCAATATTTTATCCTACCTCACCCACACTCTGGCATCATGTATGTGTTTTGTCTGCAGTGTGTGGAGTGATTCAGACTCTCCGCACTTCTGGCATTTTTTAACTCTCATTTGGTATATTCCATATTTTTCCTAGACTGTTTGACAATGACTGGTTTGTGTTGACCATAGTAAATTATGAGGCAGCCTTATCCTCTACCTTCTTTTTCCCCACTCCCACCCAGTTTTTTCTTCTCATATCATATTCCTCTTATTTTGTCCTTTTCGTTTCCCCCATTCATCCTTACCCCCTGTCCCTTCAAGAATGGGATTACAATGACATTCTTTATGCCATTAACCATCCTCTATTCAAATCTTTGTTCACCTGTTTTCATCCCATATGCTTTGCTCTTTTTTTGTTGGTGGTCCTATTGGGTCCAATGTGTTTGTTCCCAACATGTCACATATCTGTTACCATTGTGATTTCATTCACACAACCTGGGCAGCTCATGAGGTGAATTTCAATTTCACGTTAATATACTGCCTTTCCATTTCTCATCTCCTTATGATCTGTATCATCTCCTTTGCTTGTTTGTGCTCTCTGATGTTATTTTGCATACTTGTCTTCCTATCTCAGTTCTTGTTTCTGCCTCCTTTTCCATTGGAATCCTTCTTATACCTATGACCTTTCCCCTGTAACCCTAACAGTTGGATTTGACAATACATTTTGTTGGCTTTTCCTTCTTTGTCTTCTGTTTCCCATCAGTTGTTTGTGGTCTCTTCCCACCATATCTGTCCTAACACCTATTCTTGGCTGCTCCCTTTCATCATCAGTTGGTGGGGATCTTCTGGGCTGGCAGGTAGACCACACTGCACACTTTCATTGCTTGTTGTTTACATCTTTCTGCCATGTCCTCCTCTGGACACTAATTGCTTTCCATTGTCATACTACATATATTGGCTCTACTTTAAGTTGGTAAGTTTTCTTTTAATTTATTTCCTTCCCTTACAGTGGCTCTATGCTCCATATAGGGTCCCACTCTGTTGCAAGTGATGCCTGTCCCTTCAGCTGGGGAAGCCACATCCTACCATCTCCATCAGATTGGTCTCCAGGAGATCTGGTTTTGGAAAGGATCTGGACAAACCTCCAAATCCACACTGTGTGACCTTTCAAAAAGAAAAAAAGAAAACAATACAAAGTTTTATAATGCACACTGATGAGACAAGGTTTTCAGCAAGACCACTCATAGGTTCACCTCCCAGTGTATTACATCATAAGTATTCCCTTCCCAGACTGTACAGACTCATAGACTATCATGAGTAAAGCAAAAAAAAGGGATTGCTGCCCATCCCTTTGATCCTCAGTTGAATAAATCAGGACAGGTATGCTTTTAAAAATTGGATTTTGTGGTCACCCATTGCACTGTCTCCAGTGTTGCATTCCTCCACTCTCCACCACATTATTACCCCCATTCTACAAGTGGAGTAAGAGAGTCCTTACCACTTTCAGCTGCTAGTCATTGAGGTGGTGGACCATGGAGGCTTCCTCCTGTGAATCCCATTCAGTTGAGAGTAGGACAGTGATATTCTGTTGGTGCAGATGGTGTGAACCCTCCTCCTACCACAGACTGGAAGAAAAATATGTGACACTGCCTGGTCATCGTCTGGAGATGGTCCACCTAAATGCAGTTCACCCCTTTGGCTGGGGAACCCCCATCCGACTATCTCCTGAATAATGGTTCTCAAGAGGTCTGGTTTTTGGAAAGGAGTTGGACAAGTTAGCATAAGTCCTCACACATGTGGTGGTAGGGAGCTCTCATCCAACAGCATTCTGAATGATTAGATATACTATTTGGCTGGGGAACCTCCATCCTACCATCTCCTGGATGTCAGTTCCTGAGAAGTCTGGTTTTGGAAAGGAGCTAGACCAGCAACGTAAACAAAACTGTCAGGTTATGGATTTGAGTGAACCATCATGTTGCACTCCCCCCTTCTTACTAACACTCAGATGTGAAATTTTCAGGTTGCTGTTGTTGGTTGTGGGTTTACACATGTACCCTGACTAGAATGGCAGATTAGAACCCATTTTCCAATCTGATTCATTGTCTTGAAGTGAAAACAGCTGGGACCCTCCTCCTACTGCAGACTGGACCAGACATCCCTGATGCGGCCTGGTTTTGGACTGGAGTTGACATACTGATTAGAGCCTGATGCACCCTAGACATTCTACACCATTTAAAATGTTCACTTCTGTATTGAATGTGCTGTTTTTTCTGCCCAGCTTAGTGACACATATTTTTACAATGAGAAAAGGATATACCTGGTTTAGATGTCGGGCAGTCTCCCACAGGTGTGTTTCCATACACAGAGATGTCACACCCCATGGGCATTCTACGTATGTTTTCTGAAATGTGCTCATCTAGGTAAATTCTAAATCATTCCCTTCACCAACTCAATGTGGGATTCTAGCTATTATGTGAGAGGAGGTAAGGTATCATATTGGAAGTTATAATTTTCCTACACTGAAAATATATTTCCGTCGATACTTATCTCTTCTCACACTTCCTCCCCACTTCTAGTGCTTCTTTTTTGCCTAATCACGAAGTGCAAATTGGGTTCTATAGTATAGAGGGAACCAGATTCACCAGGAAGGTGTGTCACACTCCTATTGTTGGAGGGTTATTGCATGCTTATTTGAATGCTTCAAGGCAGCTGTACCATGTTAAACACATGGGGTAGGTGAGAGTATCAAGGCTAGTGGTGAGCTAAAAATTTGTGAACATAGATGGCAGCACTGAATGAGAAAAAGCTATCATGTGAGAGAGTAAGTATCTATTGGAATCCCCCAGTGGCACAGTGGTAGGTGGTGGACAGAGCACAGATAGCACATTGTGTAGCTTTGTACTTCATTACAAACATTCAATCAATCTATTGGAAATATGTTTTCGATGTAGAAAAATTATAACTTTTGATTAAAAAATAAGTTCAATGCTGAGACATTTGGAGGGATTAACTTTTTTTTCTTTATTTCTCAGTGGAAAATCATGATATTACAACTTTAGAAACTAACAGTTCTCCCAAATTTGAACATTTGAAACTTGGATTTTCAAAGTGGCCATTCATTGCTGCCATTGTGGTTGCCCTTTTAATTTTAGCAATATGCATATACCTTTGTCTTCGGCGTCCTAGAAGGTAAGTTTTTATGATATTATATTAACAGAATTATTCATTTGTAAAACATATTCTGGACTCTGATTTTTGTGAAATTCTTTTAAACAAACTTTTATAATTTTTTTCTCAAAACAAACATGTTGAAGATTGCTTTAATTGGAGGTTTTGATTATATCCTTGCAGTGAGTAAACAAAAGAAAGTTATTTTTTTTCCTGTTACATCAATTTAGTGTTTGTGATGAGCTTAAGATTTATTAATCAGTTACTTATTGCTCTTGGACTATAAATAATAGTATTTTAATTCTGTCTTTCTGAAGTACACTTTAGATCCAAACAGATTTGATGATAAATTCTCTGACACAAACATTAACCAAGATATTCTTTAATGCGTACATAATACTTTATATTGTTCACTTCTTGCAATCCAAAACCCTGCTTTGGATGTCTGAAACTTATTCATTTAGTAGTTGTTATCATTGGTTGTTATAATAATATGTTTAGTAATTAATGGTTTTCCAGGGGACAATCTTATCTAAGATATCTTAAGATCATTAATAGGATCTTAGTTTAATATTTTTATTAGATCTTTCAAGATCTTACAGGATTTTTGGAAAAAATATGCAAAGTTTTGTTAAGATTTTTTTATTTTTGAAGTAAGATCTTAAGTTCTTAAAGGATCTTGATAAACTTCTTATAACACTATCTTAGAAAATGATAAAATCTTGCAGTATCCTTGAGAGGGTATTTTTAAAATTTTTAGTTTTCTAACAATTGTTCTCATGATTTGTAACCTCTTTTTAAATTATTTGATTTAGTTATTAGTTCATAGTAGGGTACAATGTACTCTTAAAAATAACTAGTCAGTTCGTTATTCCCATGAGTGATAAGCTCACTAAATCAGCCTGGGATTAGCCACATAAATGTTGTTTGTATTACAGTATGATTTAATGAGGTTAAAAGGAGAAACAAAACAAATCTATTTAGAACAAGTAGCTCAAACATGTGTAAAAAAATTATATAAACTTCTTAATAAATCTAACACACACGTTAAAAGAATTATTGTATAGGCTATAAACTATATGAAGATTACCATGCATCTAATAGCTGTTGTTCATATTCATACCAGCATGAAGATTAACATGCATTTTACTTCTGTAGATAATATTCTTGTATGCATGTAAAGTATCACTTCAAGTAAAATACTCTCTGTTAATTTTCAAATGCATACAGTTACTAAAGTGTGAGATTTTCAGTTATGTCTATTATATAACGCAAAGTGTGTGCCCGGGAAAAAAATACATGGTTATATATCTATCATTTTGCATATGTTCCTTATACATTTCCACATTTCTTGATCAAGCAGCACCAAACTTAACACTGCCATACAGGATGACGCGAGGAAGGTCATGAAGGGGTGTGGGGTTGGACCCCCATCCAGTTTCAGAAAACCTGACAAACCAGCACAACTTGACACAGTGATAAAGAATGACATGAAGATGGTCATGAAGGGGGTTGGAATTTGTTGTTTTAATGGAAAGATTAAGTTTCAACTGCTGACAGAACTACTTGAACCTCTCAAGACATTAATGCAGGGATGCACACTAAATTTAAGGCTTTTTCTTAAAAATATCAAAAAGGATAACAGCTGCTTCTGAGTGACATATTTTGGGGTTTCAAAGGAAGTGCATGGTACATGCCAACTTCTAAAGTGCAAGGTCAAATTTATCGTACTGCAGAATCACTATTGTCACTTCCAGAAGAAGATCCAATGTTTCTTCAAACTTACTTCATGGGAGACTTGTAAGAACAAGGTAACCAGCACTGCTGGAATATCCCTGGTGTAAAACAGGAGATTGTTTTATCCTTACAGATGCTGCTGCATTAGAAAAACATATATGATAATTCCTTTTAGTCAGTCCTGAAAAGAATGCCTAATCAGTATGTTGTTCATATGTATGCAAAGATTGAAACTGAAAGATTAACATTTTTCTGACTCAACCAGAAGATATTACATGCTGATGAGATGATTATATCCATCTTAAAGATGTTCTTACTAATGAATGAAATATTGGTAATCTTGGTCAATTGATATTTCTGCCATCTTTGTTTATGGGTGGGCCTAGATACATGCATGAAAGAACATAGGATGCAATGACGCATGTGAGGAACTACATCTGGCCAGATCTATTTATTATTTTTACATGTAACTCGTCCTGGGCAGAAATACTAACATGTCTTATGATAGGATAAAAGCCAAAACACAGACATGATATCGTTACCAGGGTCTTCCAACAAAAAGTCATCAAGCTCGCAGATCTTTTAATAAAAGGACCAATCTTTGAAAAACCACTTTTTCATATGTACAGAATAGAATGGCAAAAAAAAGAGGGTTGCCACATGACCACATTTTAATTTGGCTATATGAGAAAACCAGACCTGCTATAATTGACAGCTGCATCAGTGCAAAATTCCCCAATCCAGATGAAGACTCTGATCTGTATGAAATAATCAAGAAGCAAATGATACATGGTCCCTGTTGAGCACTTAATTATAATTCTTCATGCACGAGAGGGGCAAATGCACAAAAGAATTCCCAAAGTGTTTACTAAAAGACACTCAAACTGATGTGGATGGCTATCCACTCTACAGATGAAGGCAACATAGGGATGGTGGGTTTACTGCAAAAATAAAAGTTACTGGTAAAATGGTCACAGTGAACAACAAATGGGTGGTTCCATACAATCTGCTACTTTGCAAAGCTTTCAATGCTCACATAAATGTAGAATTCTGCAATTCTGTCAAATCCATTAAATGTGTATGCAAGTACACAAACAAGCGATCAGATCAGGCTGTATTTAACATTGTAAAAGAAGTATCCCATTATCTACTTGGATGATAAATTTGCAGTAATGAGGATTTGTGGAGAATATTCAACTTTCTCCGTCATTAGCACTATCCAGTAGTAGTTCATCTTAGCGTCCATCTAGAAAATTGTCAGCAGATCTACTTTACAGAAGATACAATTCAACAAAAAATGCAGAATCCACCAAACACAACACTTACAGCCTTTTTCAGGCTGCACCAGAAAGATGAATTTACCAAAACATTGCTTTATATTGAAATGCCAAAATATTACACCTGGCAAGCAAAAACTAAAGCATTCAAAAAACAAGTCAAAGGTGCTGGTGAGAATGGTCATCTCAGAATAAAGTCAAGTGATGCTTTGGGCAGAGTGTACACTATGCATCCAAATAACTTTGAATCATATTGCTTACAACGTCTCCACCATGTTTGTGGCCCTTCATCATTTCAGGACTTGAGAACAGTGAATGGGTAAGAATGTGAAACATACAGGGACACTTGCCATCAAACAAGTTATATGGGAGATGATGTTCATTGGGAAGAAACATTGCTGGAAGCTGCAGCTACACTGTCCCCTTTAATAATGCAAAACCTTTTTGCAATAATGAGAGTCACATGTTGACCTTCAACTCCAATGCAATTATGGGACAATCACAATTAGACTTTTTAAGCAGATGTCCTTTACCAAATATCCAGAGAAAATCCTGAAGTTGATGTTCAATACACAGATGCTATTTTCAACAAGTCATGGAGCTTCTTGGAAGATAAAGTGATATCAATAGTAGGAAAAGGTTTAACAGATTTGGGCCCTCCATCACCCAATCTAAATGAAGAAATCTGCCTCAATCAAAACTTACTGTGAGAGACAAATTACAGTGTGGAGCAGTTGGAAACTTTTATAAAAAGACATGAACCTCACTTAGTACCTGATCAAGCAACTGCCTATGAAAAGATCCTTCAAAATATCCAAGATAACATGAGTGGAATTGTATTTCTTGATGTTACAGGTGGCAAATGGAACAATTTCTCATCAGTATTATTTTAGCAAAGGTAAGATACCAGAGAAAGATTGCACTTGCTATTGCCTCATCAGGTATTGTAGCAACCTTGCTGGAAGGTTGACGAACTGTAGACTCATCTTTTAAACTGCCACTGAATCTTGCTCATACAGAAAATTAACTTTGCAACATCAAGAAAGGTCGAGGAGTAGCCAAAATACTGGAAAAATTTCAATTAATTGTTTGGGATGAATGTATCATGCCTCACAAGCTTGCTTATGAAGCCCTGGATAGGGCATTGGAAGATATCCGAGGCAACAATAAATTGATGGAGTATTACTCTTGTGGTGTCAGGAGACTTTCGACAGACCCTACCAGTGGTTACATATGGTACTCCAGCAGATGAACTGAAAATCTGCTTGAAATCATCCTACCCTTGGAGACAAGTAGAAAAATTGAGCTCTTGTGGTGACTGCAGATACCTTATCAGTTTAGTTCCACCAGACTTGTACTGCAAGGTATATTGGCAAACACCAAGTCATAAATGGGTGCCTTCATACACATGGCATCAACATCTCCCACATAGTATGGAGTGTCCACCTTTATTCTTACTATGGAGAAACTTTCTTACTGCTGCATCCAGTGTCTCTTAGGATTTTCACTTTCTTGCCCCGACAAAGCCTTCACCTACTGGCAGGTTGTGCTTTGTTAGCACCTCTCGAAGGTTTGTCACATGTTCTGCACTTTTGATCCATTTGCTAATTTGAACTAACAATCAATTGTGCAATGTTTAATCATGGAGGTAGCACTTATGGTAAACATCATGTGTTGTTTCTATTCTGTTTATTCTGACAGCAGCATCCATGGTGACAATCACTCTTTTCTTGTTTCCTGCCTAACCTTCTTTGTAGGTAGCTCCAGCTGCTTTATGTTGAGATTTCTGCTATTGGTTGCTGGTGACAGACTTGCACTCACTCTCAGTGTGCCCCATTTTATTACAACCATAGCATATCTTCTCCCATTTGTCTGTTAACCTCTTGTCAACTTTGGTGGTGTCCTGCTTCTCATCAGCCACCACTGGTTGTGACTTTAGCTGGTTATTCTTGGACTTGCCAGTTATACTCTTTCCATGGGCTTCCATATGTTGTTCTGCCAGCTTGA